GGGGGGGGGGTACTGTAAGGATGTTAGTTTTCTGTGGCCCGGTGTGTCTGTTTTCCTCGTGCTCCTCGTTAGTTTCCATTGTTGCCACCTGTGTCTCGTCCCAGCTGTTTGTCATCATGTCTCGTCTTCTCCTTGTATTTAAGTCTCCCTATTCTGTCTTGTCCTTGGTCGGGTCGTCTTCGTTGGGTGTGCTTCCTTGAGTCTCCTGAGTCTCTCTGTTTTCCTGGTTCCTCGTGTTCCTCGTGTCTCCCGAGTTCCCCGTGCCTCCCTCCTTGTTTATGTAAGTTTTGCTGCCCCGTCAGCATATTTATTTTGTACTTTTCGTTCATCATTAAAAACTTATTTTTGTATATCTGCCGAGTTGAGTCCCTGTTCTGCACTCTGGGTTCGCTCCGACCACAAATCCTAACAGATTTCTTCTTTGAATGAGGAATAAAAATCATTACTTACTGTTTATGTGAAATAAAAATGAGTAGTTCTTTTCAACCTGTAACATTGAGTGGAACCAACACAATTTGATTATTAAACATTTGTAAAACAGTAATGATTATAGAGAATTGTCTTTTCTGCTTGATTAATTCAAGAAAGAAAGTCATCAGATGGCTCAGACTGTATTCAGATCAATGAAATAACAGTCCCTGTCCATCTGATAGATTTGAGGTCATCAGGGTCAGATCAGGATCAGATCAGGTTCACTACAGATGTTGTTTGTTGAAGATCCTTCTGAATTTCTCTGATACTCCAGCAACATAAGGGATGACAATGTTTTTACGTCTGTTCTTCTTTTTCTGTTTATTAGTGTGTTTTGTAGATTTCCTCGCTGACTTGACAAAAGCCCAGTTAGGATATCCACATGTTTGGAGAGATTCTTGGATGTGTTTCTGTTCCTTTTCCTTCCCTTCTGTCTTCATGGGGACGCATTCGGCCTGATGTTGTAAAGTTCTGATGACAGAGAGTTTGTGTTCCAGTGGATGGTGGGAGACTCCCACCATCCACTGGAACACAAACTACTTTTCCTATTAAACAATTTTTTCTTAAGTGGTTTCGTGGAACATTGAATTTCCTAAACAAATTTTTCAATGTTAAGTTCATATAATGTTTGTTTAAATTCATACTGGAAGTTGAGAAAAATTTCCAATTGCATTTGATCTTTAATGGATCCTAAAAAAAGATTACCAGAATCTGCTCAACTGTTATTATGTTGTAATTTTTTTGGTTCTAGGATGAAGTGAGACAAAAACAGTCAAAAATACAGAAGACAGTAATCAGTTATCATTTATGTTATCAGTTAACATTTATCAGTTATCATTTATCAGTTATCATTTATCAGTTATCATTTATCAGTTATCATTTATCAGTTATCACTGATCAGTTATCAGTTATCAGTTATCAGTTATCAATTATCAGTTATCATTGATCAGTTATCAGTTATCAGTTATCGGCCGTACAACTGTAACCCCCGAGAGATTCAGCTGAAAGTCCTGGTGCACCTTTTATTTGAACCTGCAGAGATTTGAACAGCTGATCTGAAGCAAACAGGCAGGAGTTCACCTGAACTGAGCACTCCTGCTGTTTGATGGTCTCCTCCTTCACCATCCATCCATCCATCCATCCATCCATCCATCC